TGTTGTGGCACGTACAGTCAAGCACGTGTCGAGCGGCTTCAGATACAGTCATTGTCCATCATGGCCTCCTGTTTTACGATTTGCAGACACGTCGCAAGCGAATCACAGCATGTCTCGTACCTGGCTTCCCGCCCCTTTCGCGATCGCACCAGTCACTCAGAATCTAGACCTCTCGCAAGCCCCTGCGTGCATGACTGTCTATTTGCGGGCGTGAGGGTACAATGTCATCGGCAAGCCATTCACTGAGCAGGTTTTTGCGATTGCAGCACCTCTTCAGCCCGTGCGACGAGGTGCGCGACGTCCCTATCGCTCCAATGCGTAAACGACCGCGGCAATTCCAATGCGCTGCTGATTTTCACCTTGAGCACCTCCAATTCGGCTTCCTTTCTAATGCCTTCCAATTGCGTAGCAATCTTCTTTTGGTGCTTCTTGCCGCTTGGGGAGAGCAGACCTCCGAGTGTGTATCCGCCTAGCAAAATACCGAGCAAGACGTACAGACCTGTGCTATCGGACGGACTGAACTGAGCAGGTTGGGGCGAGTAGGATGCTCTGCTGCTGCTCGTTCCGTCGTCGTTGCCACTCGTTGATGCACGATCCGGCGCGGCATTGGAAATTGCCGCCGAAGCTTCGCCGAGTGCTACTTTGGCCACATCAGCACCTACGCGAGCACCTTCCACAATTTTGGAAGACACCTTTGCCGCTGCCTGTTGCGTCTCTGCAGGAGGTTCAGCGATACCCAAATCCCTTCTGAAAGCGCTCAGCAGTTCTTTGATGCCATTCGTCATGCTCTGCGTTGCTCCTTGCGCAATCGCCCCTGCCCCTCCCGCAGCTTGACCCGAAGAGCTCTGCTCGAGAGAAATGTCCTCCGGAAGCGTCACGTCGCCCAATGTGTGCGCCACGTCCGCACCGGCAGCGATACTGATTTTGCGAGGTGGAACATAAGGCCTTTGAGCTTCGGCAGAGCCCGCCCCTCTTTGAGTCGGATCAAAGTACGCAGTGAAAAGTGGCTGAGGGATTTGGAAAGGTGGACGTGCCGGTGAGCAGGCTACGCAGCACATAGCATATACCCGCCATCAGACAATAACCACGACTCACCACTTGTGGTCCCGGCACAGGAGGCGGCTCGTAGTAGGGAATCTTGACGTCGAAGAACGCTGCCGGTTTGGGATTCTTGATGGGTGGCAGGCCGGGAGGATTTGAATCAGGGCTGGAAAGCTTTGTGAGATCGGGCAGAGCATCTTTGGAGTTGGATACTTGGCCTGGCAGGATGTTGGGAGGATGAGGCACAGAAGCGTTGGTTCGGCTGTCCAGCTCTGCGGTGTTTGCAACGTTGGATTCGGTTGCGGGAGCAGCTTGAGGTGCAGGAGTCGTCGAGAGGCGCCTGTTTGCAGTGGACGAGTTAGCAGAGACTGCGGATGGCCTCGTCACGTTGGGAACGCCAGCTGCTCTCTTGCCGTCATTGTCCAACAAGCGTTGAATCAGATCTGCTCGCTTGCCTGTGGTTGAGAGGCCTCTAGATTTCAGCTCAGCCTTGAGCTCCGTCGCCTTGGCTGCTTGATACGAGTCGCGCTACGGTGCAAGTCACGGCAAGCAAGGGACTCGTGGGTGAGTGGAGAAGCAATTAAAAGACTCGACGAACTGCTGGACAACTCACGCTGAGCAGCACTGTGGATACCATGCCTCTGTACAGTGCTGGTGTGGACGTGGCCGAAGCGACAGCAGCCGTGGCCGGTCGCGCGGCGGATGAGGAGAGCGATCTCAGCATGACGATGATGCGTGCTGATTTCCAGCTCGGTATGATGATCGATGGATGAAGCACGGATGCTCCTCTCGTCAGGGCGGCACAGGGTGCAGTCGCAGTGTTGCGGTGCACATGGTCGTATGAGATGCAAGCAAG